CCTGAATCACAACCAAGGTATGCTCAAGAATTCCTCTTGGAGGATTTCATGCTGGTATGTGTACATCTTACAGGAGTAGTTCATGAAATATTCCATGAAAGGGAGATCAGGAAAATGCTGAAAAGTTACTCTTCATGGGGGAAAATTGAAGTAAATGAAGTAGTGCTGATGAATCTTTAATATGGTTTTATGCTGAAACAAATATCGTATCGGCTATCGGCTTCACATATCAGCCAATGTCAGAATCGGCAAAATCGGTAAAATCCAGTATCAGTCGATCTCTAATAACTATAGATGAGAAACTCATAACTTTGTCAGGTCAGCTTTTACAATCGGGTTCATTATTGTAAATAGTGAGTTTCCTCTCCCATATTTCAAGTCCATGGTGGGTTAACATGGGCAACAGACAAATAACAAAAACTTAATGAATAGGTTGCCATGGCAACTGCAGACAAGTGTCTGGACACTTTCTTCCTCATAGAAGGAGGGGACACTTCAAGGTGTCTTGTATCAGTATCTCATTTGACATTCTTGCAACAGTGTCTGAAACTTCAACTTAGTCCAGGGCAAACAGAAGTTTTTGCTCTAGCCATGGAAAAAAATGCTATCCATGCCAAAACACTGAATCAAGAATTTCATTTCTAGAATCACAATATTTCTTCCATCACATCCAAATAAATACACCAAGTAATAACAGTATGAAATGTGACTGAGGGACAAAGACCCTGTGAAAAAGCAGTAAAAAGCCATATTTATGACAAGTGAGAGACTATTGCATTTTTTTCTCTTTCTTCTCCGGAATCTCATCGCCGTACTCGTCCAGGCGACTCTTATCAATTGGATACAACCTAGAATGTGAAAAAACAAAAGCATTTTCAAAGGAATGCCATAAACCACTTTCCCTTTTTCAAACCTCCAATTTGAGACAGACCATCGTTGATAGAGATAAATGAGGAACACAACATCATCCCTGAAGCAAGCGATGCGGTGCATGGTCGGCATCCGGATAATGAATGCAAACAGGTCGTCAATGAAGGTGTTGCATGCCTACATGAGTACACAAGAAATCAACTTGCAGAAAACCTCTATGTAATTTCTTAAACAAAGAATTTTGCATGTCAAAAACCTTGTAAAGGAATGCCCTCCAAGGAAGGTGTGCTACCGACTTGAGTCGATAGTTGAGGAATAGCTGCGGGAACATGAAAACGAACCCAAATCCATACACAAACCCTACTGTCGTCTCCATCGCCCATGAGTACCAGCTGAAAGAATAAGTATCAAGGTTGACTCATTCTTTGCATTTGCTTTGAAATGCAAACTCATGGTTTCTGTTCATCATAACTATCAGCTACTTAAAAGGAAAAGCTAGAATTTAAGGAATGGCAAAAAAATGGAGGAATCAGAAGGAAAAAAATAAATGACCAGGAGGTCATACAGGGTGCATGAAAAGTCACTGATTGTTTTCCTTTTTGAATAAGTCATGAACTAAAGATGGTATCACAATTCTTTCACACATAAGAACTCAAAGGTACTTCTGAAGAAAACACTTCACCACAAAATATCAACAATCCTCAGCTCAATGATATTCAATATGGTGGTTCAGATCACCAATGCATATTTTGATCATATTAGAAATATGACCCCAAAAGGCCTGTTCAGTGGCATATTTTCTGTAGAGATACTAGTACCTTTTATGTGGCTTGTAGAGGAGGGAGTAGATGGAATATCCAAGGAGGACTGGTAGAAGGGCAAAGAGAAGATATCGCATCCCTTCTGAGTCGAACGTATCACTCTTCTTCTCCTCTGAGCTCTGGCCAGCATTGCTACGCCATTTGTATGCCTTCATCACTTTCCATGTCTGTTGGGGAAAATTTTTTTTCACATTTAGTTGACACATCACCATCTTTACTGCAAATATTGTTTTATTGAAGTGTTTTAAAAGATGGGCTCAACATCCTCTGCTTACTTCCATACTATTGCAACTAACCCCTATCAATCAAGTGTGCATCAAAATATAGAGATGTATTTTACAGAAAAAAAGAACTTTCCTACTGGAATTCAGGTTGAAGCCACATTCCATTAATCCATGCAAAGTTTGAGCCATGAGAGTAGATGGCCTTACAGATACATTCCATGGTGGAATGACAATCAGTGTTGAACATGACAATGATGGCAAAAAGGAATGCTGGGATGGCATGCAGATGAAGCAAGAGCACTATTTGGTGTCAGGCTTTTGATGAAGAACATGCTTGAAAATATGTGACAAACTTTCTCAGTATTGAAAGTAGCAGGGTTCAATTTTGCCCAGAAATGTCAACAACTATAAAATATATCCCTAAAAGGAAAGAGATTTTTACAATTTCAACAAAGGAATACAGCAGTGCAAGCCCTGGCCAGAAGTAACCCAAGAAAGTTACCTCAATGATGGCACCAAGACAAGCAGGGATGAGGACAAGGTAGGAGGTGTTTTCCTCCCGCAGGTAGAGGAAGATGACCCACTGGCTGAAGCAGCGCCAAAGCACTGAGTATAGAGATAGTCCCAGCATACTCTTCTTTCGCTTCCAGAACATCACATCATTCTTCAGTGCTAGGATGTCCAACAGCAGCTAATAAAGAATAACAGCGGAAGTGAAAGGAATGACCTAAAATAACAAACACTGCAATACAGATGACATTGGTGCCAGTGCTCACATGGAAACATGAGACGAAGAGTGTAAGGAACAGAAGGAAGGGTTCAGCATGAAAAATGCCTTTCACATCCTCTAAATCCTTGTCTGTGAAGCCCATGTCTTTCATGGCTACAAAACTCATCTCAAGCTGCCTCCACAGCCTGAAAGAAGAAAAAATTTATTGTGAAAAGCAGTTGGAACTTCAGTTCAGTTTCTTACTTATATCTAAGAAACTTTAGGAAGGGACCTGACCTGAGTTTCCCAAATGAAATTGGGTTGTACATGAGTGTCAGATTTGCCTGTTTGATGGAAGAGTTGAGACACAGGAGATCCTCACGTTTCAGATGCATTTCATCTGCATATAGGACTGGCATGTACTCACCTTCATTCATGTAGCTGCCATGCAGAACCATGCCAAGAGTTAATTTCCATTTTCAAATTAGGGCAAAAATGTGAAAACATTTCTAAATAGGAAAATTAAAAGAAATACCAGTTGTGCAAAAAACGAAGTGATCATGGCACCACAGCTCCCTCAATGTCCCAGAATAACCTCTATAATGCTGAGTGATGTAATAATTGTTTCTTTCACTGACTTCTCAAGTGTAGTTGGTTGAATTAACTGATTAAATATGGTTAATTTTTTATGCAAAGACTTGTCATTTAATTTTTCACCCATAAAGGTAAGAATGCTGCCAGTGTTCATGTGCAGTTTGAAGAAGTCTGCCCTTCCAGCAAGCACAGTTCCTCAAAGGATGCAAGAATTTAGAGAGAAGTACAGCCCTTTGTTGTTCCTTCTTTTGAAATGTTTGCCATATTCTATCATTTCATTCAACCAAATGAAATTAAAAATTTGAAGAAATAAAGTATGACATTAAAAAGTAAACTGAAATTTCACTGAAGTGTAGTTGTAACAGATATTAATGCACTCAGTATTACAATGCTGCTACTGGAAAAATGAGGGAGCTGTGCCTCAATGATCACTATTTCTTGACTGCAACTTATAGCACACTCACACAAGAGCATGAAGATCCCTGGGGATAGTCTCAGGAAAGGAAAGAAGATCAGTCATGATGTTCAGTGATACTTTCTGCTTCAGGTGGGTCCATGGTCTCCCATCATCCACTTTTACCTCCTTCTTCACCTTCTGATACAAAACAACATTCTTCAACAGAGGGTAAGGTGGCTAAAAGCAGTCATAAAGGATGATAACCTCAGAATCATCTCCTTGTAGGAGATGGTAGGTGTGAGGAAGTTTGGGAAGGTGTGATGTTAGAGGATGGCTCAAGTAAACTCTCTTCTTGGCCCCCTTGGTTCCATGCAGGAGTTCTTGCCAAGTTTCAGATGACTCAGGAGTTTGAGGGAATAGGAAAAGATGCAAGGTGAGGCTTCCATTTTTCACAGTCTCTTGTGGCAGGTTCACGGTCACCACTCTGTCAGATGGAAGGGGTTAGTTCACATGATTTGACTAGAAAAACAAGCCATGACTGCCTAGCCCTAGTTTGCCAAAAATCCATGAGTATCACTTTAGCACATATCTTTCCTCTGCTCATAGGGATGAAATATTGCCTTAGTGAATGCATGCTCACTCTGTCGGTTTTTTTTTGGGGTTTTCATAATCAAATAAAATGGACCACAACAGAGGATACTCATGAGGACAGTAAGTCCAGCGCTGCTGTAATGATGGAGACGGAGCAATACCTTTCTCATTAGCACATGGGACAGGGGCGTTTCATCGAGAACCGATTCACTGAAAACTCAGTTTCACAGACTAGTTGCATCCCTGACAGCTTCTTGACACCACTTTTAAAAGCAAGCCCAGCGACGGTGCCATTTGTGATTTCGGTAATGGAATTAATGTCTTCGAATTTTTGTTAGTATCAATTAAAGGTGGAAGACTATTCAATGCAAACAAGAAAGTAAGGAACGGAAGGGTATATTTGAGTCGCATTCATGAGCTGTGTTTCGTGGTAAACCAACGGTTCCCAAACTATGGTACGCGTGCCACAGGGGGTAAACAAGGTTTAAAAACAGAAAGCATTAGTCTTACATACTGTGGGATATGCATATGAGGGACAAGTGGTGGCATGCTTCATATGCACCCTGGAGGCAAGTGGTACGTAAAGGTCGAAAGTTTGGGAATCGCTGGAATTGACTTCGAGAGATGGCCGCCTGAATTTCACGATCATGCTCCCGACAAATAAGAAATTGTAAGAAGTACCATCGGCGGTCAACTGAAGGAAGCCGTTAAGAAAGGAGTTGGACCGAAACCGAACGGAAAGAGCAGCTCAGTGCTGGGTGGACAGTTCCACAGCGTAAACCCAAGGATATAAAACGAGACGGAGGGTTCCTGACGGTTACTCGGGATTTCCACGACAGGGATCTGGGTGATTTTCTCCAAGAAATCGCTCACGATCTGAAACTTTAGATACAAACCTAGGCCAGTCTATCAATTGACTTCACTTGACCCATAAAAGCGACTTTGGTGAAGGCTACAAATAAAAGGGCTTTTTGGTGCCAGGCTTTTGTTCGCAAAACTGGCGCAAGGGGTTCCTGTTGTTCTGCGAAACGGTACCATTTCTAGGAAACACTCCTACAGCGAGCAGGCCTCGTTTACGAAACGACTTTCTAGGAAACGCCCCCAACCCAAGCACGTTGGTGCCATCTGGCCTTTTCGTATATACATTGTAACAAATAAGATGAGACTACTTTGCTACTGTTCACCAAAAGTTGGGGTTCCAAGAGATCTGAGAGGAAATGGAGTATTATTGTCCACCACTAGTGTCAGAAGCTTCATGAATCATACAGGGTACACATTTTGTTTACATTAGAGAAAATACCCCTTAGTCTAGGTTTGATTTGTTCTGTCAAACTACCCTAATCCCCCCCTCCTTTGCATCCACAGTCCATCAGTCCTTATTAATTTTTATAAGCTAATACCAATATATTTTCCATCCCATTTTACAAGGGAAAATGAGATGCTATGCAACAAGGGTAAATGCATTGCAAAGCTCTCAGACTGGAGAAAGGGTGAAGGATCACATCATGAAAATGTTACCTTTGTTAGTTTAACCTTTACACACCGAGCATTTCCAAATTGAAGCAGAACATGTAAGCAGAAAAATTCTAAATTTGCCATATTCCAAGAGCAAGGAATCTTCCTTTACACTCCTATAGAAGGTAGATTCTATGATCTTCAAATATAGCAAAATTCGAATTTTTCTTCATAAATGCTGTTTTCAAATGTAGCAAAATTTGCATTTTTCCAATTTCATGCCCTGTTCAAATTTGGAGGCATTCAGTGTGTGAAGGTTAATGTTAAATGCTACCTAAGAAATAAGAAGCCAAATTCTATTAATTTTTTGGGCATAATTAAAGCTTCCTGTGTGCTAGCCTATCAATGACTCAATAATTATATTGTCACTGAAAACTGTATTCATTTACTCAGAGCATGGCCATATGGGATATGCATAAAGGCCACGGTGTGTTCATGGTGTGAAGCCCTGAATGTATATTATAAAAGATTAAATGGATTTCCTCAGTACACAAGTCATAAGAGCACCCAGAGATTCCAGAGCAAACCTGGCATTACATTATACATTCCCATAAAAATTTTAATGAATTTCTGAAATTGTCATCAAATGTCAATAAGGAGCATTGCAAGCAAAAACTAGAAGTATGTTCATGAGTTATATCCATCATAAAAGCCAATATACTATGGAATATTCAGGACAGGAGCTGAATTTCCACCTTCTTTGAGAATCTGCAACAATTGAAAACCATAAACACAGTGAACTTCAAATTATATGGAATAATTTTTCCTATACAGTATACAGGTGAAAGACATGTTTCTTCCATTGAAAATAGTTGACTGACTCAAATTCAGATTGTCAATGCGGAAGCTGCTAAACGTATGAATGCAATTCATTAGCATTACCACTTGCAAAGGATGTATACAGTTAAGGTATTTTTGGAATCATTGGTTTCAGTTTCATAAATCATTCAGCAAACAAAGTAGTATTTGTTTTGTTATCACCTTTGTGTCTATCACCTAAGGCACAAATTTCCACCAGCAGTGTGCATATTCAGTTATGACTTGAATCATGATTACAGTTGTATGTCACTCAGGTCAGAACTGGAACACTGAAACCACATGACTAGACTCTGACTCAATTTGGAAATGGAACCATACAACCAGAAGCAACACTTAAGTAGAGCAGGAAAATGTACACTGACATTGACATTTGGGCTGCAAAGTCAAATACTGGGCAGCACTTAAATAATGAACCATGGCTTTTGTGGTTATTTCTCAACTTTCAGATATGGCAGAGGCAGACAAATTACACCAAGTATACATCTATCTTTCCTCTTGCCTCCAGGTAAAACATGAACTTCTAGCTACCAGAGTGCACCCACAGCAGCTGCTTGACTAAGGCACCTCAAAAATTTTTATATCATGCTTCGTCTCATTTGAAATACAATGGATCCTCCTTTGCTGTTTCATGTAGCATATAACCTCACTTTCCATTTTAAGCGATGGACTAATGGATCATCTCCACTATGATCAAGGGATCACAATGACTAGACTTTTAGCACTAAGAAAGGCATCAGCTTGATGTCAAACTGCACTTGTGCAAATACCCCCTCCTCCTTCCAAACTGTGAGTGAGATGAAACACAGTAGAACAGTAGTTGAACAGCTGCTGTGGGTGCACTCTGGAAGCTAAAAATGTATAGTTTACAGGAAGCCAGGATGAAATATAGTTGAATATGAGGCATGATTTGTGAGCCTCTACCTCATCTGTAAGTTGAGGGATCAATGAAAAAATCTGTGTTTTTTATGTGCCACCTGGTGACTTGCTTACAATCAAAAAGTCATGCTAGATATGGTTGGCATGGGGTGTGGAAGCTCTTGTTGTTTCAAAAGAAGGTTGCATTTTTACATACATTGCACCAAAACATGCAGACTGAACAGTCTTCTATCATTCCATTATTCATCTGGAGATCAGGACTAAATGAATAATTTCAATAAAAATGAATGCATTTGTGAGGCAGATCCACATGGTAGGCTTCGCTCACTTTTCAGTGGGAAGGTGAGGGTCCAGATGTTTCCAATGATCCAAGAGTTTGAGATCAGTGAGACGTGTGGTTGGAGAGGTAGTGGACGAAGTCGTTAGCACAATCTAGGAAGGCCAAATTCGAGGGCAATTGAAAGCCATCTTACATACTGGGCCTACACCTGCTTTGTTTTTCCATTTGAGTTTGACACTTTTCAAATGACTTCGACAGCTGCGTATGCCTATTACCATCCATGGGTGACGGAGCCAATTCAATAATACGGCGTACAACTAGACACCAAAGAGCGGTGATACAACAAAGAAAGCCGGTTCGAGAGGCATAGCAAAGGAGAACGCTAATATACCCATGAGAAGTTGATTTAAAATGCTGCCAACGCCTGCTTACCTGGACTTCCTTCAAGTGAGCCAACTGAGACTGAAAGCACTTAGCCGATGAACCACACGAGGGAGGGATGAAGAGCTGCAGGATGCCAAAAATGGAATAGCCACAATAGGCTAGAAAGGCGACACTAATGACGTTAGTGAGGGATATCATGTCAATTGAATGAGAGACGAGTCCTACTGTGCTGCCTGTTTCCCAGGCAAAAGCCGCACATCACATGGCTCGTCGCCGGTCGAGTCCCCACTAGCCACGTAATCACAGGGAGGCCGCCATCAGCCATTGAGCTTTCGCCAGACGATGTCGTCTGCTCAGGCACCACCGTGGCTACATATCTACTAGCAGCTTATCATTCCAACCAGAGCGCCAGCAGCTACTCTACGCCTGGTTCCCATCCGGGCATACACGTGACAGAATGAAATTCATACATGAGAATTTATTGTAGGTTTGCAACTATAAGGGGCATAGCTGTACCGAGGAAGAAAAATTTTATTACGGGTATAAGTTAGAAAGTACAAACTTTAATTCTAGCACAATCAAGACTGATAATACTCAATCACTTCAGGGTCAGTAGGTTTGAGAACTGTTTTGTCCCTGAGGTTCACGACCCAACCGGGCTGTAGGCCAAAGAAGACCTGCCCAGAGCCTTTTCTCATGAAGAGCATCTCTCGCAGGGGACTTCTTTCCAGATTGGGCAGTTCATATCCATATCGCTGGGCCAATACGAATCTCTCCTCTTGGATCTTCTCTGGATCCGCCAGATACCCTCTGTTCCTAGGATCTGTGTAATATTCCAGGGCATCTTCTGGTGGCAACTTCCTCCGTGGTATCGGTTTCCCTGCAACCCAACACCGATCACTGATAACTAGAAGTATTACTTTTCAACATAGAATTAAAACCCTCATACACTGTATTCACAGTATTACACAGTCATAGTGGGCCTTGTCTAAAAACTGAAAAATATATTTATTTGTTTCTGTGATTTTTTCTCATAAAAATTTGAAGCAATAAAATATTATGGGATTGACTAGAGTGCAACTCCAATTGAGACTCAAACAGAATATAGAAAATAATGTCATTAAAAATTTTTTCAGAAATAAATTCTACATAGATTTTAATGACAACTCCCACTTTCAGAGCATGTTGGGTTCAGATGAGAGATTAAAGTTGGTGGAACAATAAATGTTATTCTAGCCCCAAGTGCTGATACCAGTGGCATAACCAGGGTTTCACCAAAAGGGAGTTATAACCTTTGGAACTTCTCAAATAAGGAGGAGGCTATGTCACTTATTGATGGGAATTCTCAAGTTTTGAACAGAATGTAATATAATTGGTCCTCACTTGTTTACTCCATGATGTAATCTGCCATACCACTCAATTCAATCATTCAGGAGCTCCATAAGGATCAGCTTAGTCTAGTATACCATTCAAATGAGATAGCAACTATATCTTCAGTGTTATGTATAGTTTCTATGAAAGTAGTTAATTGCTGCATCTTATAACATTCAACAGTCCAGCATGGCTTCCTATTACAGAGTGAGATTCTATAAGGAGAATCTGGAGAAACCAAAAAGCACACCAGCAGCACATGTCAGATCAATGTGATTGTGCGATTGGAGCTGAATTCTGAAGAGGTAGAGGTTGTGCAGGTTTTTTTTTTTCTACAGAAAGAGTAAAAGATGAGCCACAGCTAAAACTCCAGAAGTCTTGTGATGCAACTAAGACATAATTGAGTGTTTGTAGAGCTTACATCATTATCTTCCTGAATTCAGCAGTTGGGCCCAGAAAGAAATATGGAAAAGATTCAACCTCATTCTAGCAGACAAGGGAATTTAGAAGATGCTGGAAGAAGTATCTCACCACTTTTAAAAAATGAGATAGGATCCCTGGCAGCAAAGATACTAGCTGGATCATAGAATGCAGCTGTGATGATCCCCCCATTCCGTTCTACAGCAGCAATCACTGGTTCTGTACACCACTGCACCTCTATGTTCACCTGTGTTGTAAAATCATCTGCACCTTCATCTGTTATCTGAAAGCCATAGTGTTTCTGCAAAGGATCCAGGTGGAACAGTCCTGTGTGACAGATGGCAGTGATATCAATGGGCTTGGATGCATCCAGACGTCCAGTGTCAATCAATGTCTGAAGCTGAAGGAGGGAGATGGGTGGATATTGACGTTTCATGTGATGGCCCTTGTAGTAATTTTCAATTTGGAACTGGAGATAGAAAGACTTTTGGCCATAGCTACGACCCAGAGGAGCTGGGAGGTTGCTCCGTTCTCCATGACCTCCATAACCCCCATACTGACCCCTCCGCTTGATCATCTTTGGTGTTTCCTTCTTCACCTCTGGTCGGAGGTTGTTCAGGGAGACACGAGGTAGTGTACGGAGCAGCGTCAATGCATAATCTATCCCCTTTGATGACATTTTCTTGAATTAATTATAACTCCTCATTGACATTGTATCTGAAAACAACAGTAGTGCTACAGAGAATGGGAATAAGTTGATGTACAAAGATTGGGTAGCATTTGAAACCCTCTTATCTACCACTTTTAATGCATTTGAAGTACCTGCCATCCTTTTCTCAATAATCCTGGGGGTGAGTAGATATGCCAATTTTTTAAAGCTGTCAGAGAAAGGTCTGCAAATTCTGCTCAGAAAGAAATATAAAAAAGCATAAGGGACTTTTTCTATTGTGTTTACCACCTTGCAACAAAATCTCAAACCCCTCAAGCCAATATGAAGATACATAACTTTACACCTGCCCAAGTAAACAGGAAAGCTACCTTGTGGAATGAGTTCTTATCTTATATCTCTTGGTTAAGCTTCCTTTCCTCACTTGAAGGGCTGAAAGGTAAAGTGGCTTATCAGCAAAAAATTCTTCCCTCAACCTCCCCATAGAAAGAGCAAATATCACCATGTCAAGTAAGGAATAGAGATATGTATAGATAGACCAGTTTATCTTCAACATACTTCCCAAAAAACTACAATTTTCAATTAATTCTATGAGCACTAAACCATCTATACTTTTTTTGTAGATAGACCACTTTGCCTATCAGCCCTTCAATACTGGGAATGGCTGTAAGCTTGCAGAATTAATGTGTGGAATTATGGGGAAACAGAAGTAAACTTGCAAGCAGCAAAGTATATATGTATGCATGGAAATCAGGATTTCATTCTATTCTACTGGCAAATAAAACTCTACTTGCATAACATAAAAATACTTTTAAAATAAACCAAGATGATTAACCAGAAAGAAGAGTGTTGCTCATCCATGTGTTGGTGATGATGCATGTAAAGGAGAGTGAGAAAATCATAAAAAGTCACTCTAGCTATGGACCTTCACCATAGACCAGTTCAGTCTAATGCCTCCTAAGTCTGTCCATGCTTCTACTTCAATCATTTCCAATCTGCTCACTCACACTCAAACCTCCTCTAATGCACATTCACCCACATGCACTTCCTCCCTGTCTTAGGTACACTGTCCTTTAGAAATTAATCTTTATCTTCTCACTTCTCCTTTCTCCCAATTGATACCCTAATTATGATCCTTCCCTGAGCTCAGAAACATCTTTTCGCATTCTCCTTCATACATTCCATACTAGAGATCATTTATGAAATTTGAAACAAACCAGGTGGCTAATAAAAGCTCTGAAATTTACATGCCTGGAGATGGAACACCATACAAGGTACTGTCTGAAATTTACAGGGACTCATATTCAACAGATGTAAATGATTTCATGAAACTTGTACAGAATTTTGCCATGAAAAATCTAAGTCACAAAATTTGTTTTGAGATGTGAAATGATTTCAAGTATCAGCCTGCATCTGCTTGCTCAGCTGGAATAGGATGGGGCAAGTCTCATCGTGTGCAGAGCAACCAGCCAGTATCACACTCCGATGCACTCACTCCAACACAGTGCAGGAAAAAGCCAATTCTGTTTTATACTGACCAATTTCATATACATTTTTGCAAAATCATCACATTTTGTAAAAATTTTCCTGCCAACACCTTGTATAATGTTCCAGCTACAAGCACATCAAATTGAAAATTTAATATTGGGTCATCTGCTACAGTTTGACATTGAAAGAAAAAGGGGAACACTCAAGTCAGGTTTTGTTTAATCTAGAGAAACCCATTCAGGCCCCTGAATTCTGAATGAATGAGTTAAGTGTACATAGACATATGGAATTAAGAATCCCTTGCCAGCTGATCTTCCCAGCATCATGACTACCACTTCTGACAGTCATGAGGGAATCAAGTGCTTTAACCCTTTCAGTAAGGAGTTTTCTGCATGTGGCTGTGCCTCCCAGTTGGGTTTAGGTCAGAGGGACCACACACACCTGGCCATAGTACCAAAAGGGTGAAACAAAAATTCAATGAATCTTACCCCTTCATAAATCACATGAATACATATGGTGTCCAGAATTTTTTATGTTTTATTTCTTTGCGTCATCCAAAGCAGAAAAGCAGAAGTCTTGGATCACTCAACATTGATGGATACCTCAGTATAGTGCATGAATCTGTCTCCCAGCAAAGCACAAAGGGGAAGTGGGAACAAAGTATTCACTGTTTCTTGGGAAAGATTGGTGCCTGTTTCACAAATTGGATCGATGGAAGAGACGCATTATTCAACAGGCCTTCTAACCCTCTTTCAATCACGTTCACTGAGAGCACCGTATTTGTTTTCAACAGTCAATTTTGGGGCTACAACGGCAGCACGCTCTAGTCTCGAGCCATGCTTCACTGACTCGAACCCATCATCCATTCCCCTGGTGAATTAAAGAAAGAAAATTCAAGAATAAAGCAGATGAAGGGCACAGCACACAAGATAAAAGCATTTTTGGCTTCATGCCTTACCAAGCACTTTTCTTTGCCTTGGGATTCGGTTCCTGAGAAACAGATGAGGCCAGTGATGGGAAGTAAAATTCATCATTGATGTCTGGTGCTGCTTTGTCCTTCCGCCTGTGACCTCCTCGCCCTGAAACACATTATTTTAAGTTTCAAGAACAGGATCATGAGTGCTCCACCTCATGGGCATGTCATGAAATGCAATTTCTCCAATAGAACTCTTTGAAGAGAGACATAGCAGTAATAAAAAAGGGATGGGGGAAAAAACCAAACAAAATAAAGTGGCACTCTACTTGCAGATTCAAATATGACTCATTCTCCCATGACCACAATCTAATCTTATCTAATTTTATTATCTAATGACATGGGCTAGGAGCTGAAATCATTCAACCAATCTATTTTCCCACATAGATAATGCATCAATAGAAACTGTAAATTATCCAATAAGTTCTTTAAAAAAATCAGAATTTTGCTGCAGCCATAATTCAAGAGACATAAAAGGATGCTACTTCCTTCCCCGCCAAGCAGGATGCACTGAGATCAGTAGGTCTAGACATTTTTTTAATGAGACAGATTGCATGCATTTTTGGTAAGGTAAGGTTTTGGTAAGTTGAATTTCATGTTAAATAGCTCCTTTTTTTGTTTATTGAAAGGTAACCTTGGAAAACTTCACTACCTTGAGACTGCCCCCACTGTAATGCCCACTGCATCTGTCTATGACTGCATTTGAAACTTTATGCTGATAAGGCATAAAGGGAATCATGCAATGATGAGGTTTTAAGTAATATTCAACTTTTGCTGCTAATATTTTTTGTCTTACCCAAAAAGTTGTTTTGAAAGAAAAAATAAATTGTTTTGAATGAGAATCAGTGGATCAGTTTTGAATCAGTGGAGCAAGATCATATCAGAAATTTCCTTGTTCCTCTTAAATGTAATTACCTGCTTATTTAAACTTAGAATTGAAAAATACTACATGAGTGAGGTACTTTTCTATATAGCTGAAGCTACCTGCAGAGTGTCAAAGATTCTATTTTGGCTCCATGGAGGGTTATTGCAAAGAAACAAATCAGTTAAATCATAAAACCCAATCAAATTCTCTTTTTCAATACAACCATTGTTCTAGTCCAAAATTTTCAAAAGTTTTTACAATTTTAAAATAGTGAGTGACTCTCCAAATACCCTGTGCATATATACTTACAAGTAAGGAGAACTCAGTTACTCACCTGTAGTAACTGCCTTGGTAGCAGAGACGTTCCGAAGATGGGGAGGTCTATAAGTGGAGGCATGACCTGATGTGGCCTCTGGTTCCTTGGAAGGGGCTTCAGGTTGTTCTACCTCTGCTTCAGCTATTGACAGAAAAACAGAAGCCTTTATTCTCATCCCCCTCTAGCCAACTGCCACTCTCCAGCCAATCTCAGAAAGGAAGGTAGATAGAAAAGAGCACTAGAGCATTTGGGTAGAGTCTGTCCATCCTGGGTATCCTAGTATCTACCCTGTGCAATTTTATGAGGACTTTAAGTCACTAATATCAACTTCAGGATGAGAATTGGAGTCAACAGCCATCAGGATCAATGCCTCTCCTCTTAGCAAAACTGAGTTCATGGGTCACCAGAGTAAACATACTAAGTACTTATGACCAAACAGTTTCATATGGAGATGAAAGGGGAATAAAAGAAGCTGGATGTGCTACAACTGTTGCCATGATGTCAGAGGACAACATACTTTCACCCTAACCTACAATATATTCTTAAAATCATTGATAACAGTATTATTCACAGATGATCACAATATGGATGGAAATGGAAGATATTTCAATAGAGTTCAATGAAAGTTGTTTGGATGAAACCAATCACTGGCAAAGAAAACCAAACTGATTGACACATCCTTGGAGAACTTCCATTAAGCACTTCATGTTATACAGGATCTTCTCGCCACCATTTCAACGAGTCACCACTTCAGTATATACTAGGGACTCCAATAATCAGTATCAGTAAGCATCTACACTAAGACATCCTGTAACAGTGCACATGTGCATGATATTATAATTACCATTGGAATTATTATCTGATGTACAAATTAAGCAGTATTTCTCTAACATTTTCAGGTCAAGTAAACCACTTTTTTATTTATTACACACAACATATGAGAAGATGGTTGGTCGATAAAAAACAATACTGGTGCAAAAAAGAAAAAAAAAAAAGTAAAAAATGTGTTTCTTGCTTCCTGGGACCAAGGTGACCCTAACCCAAAACCTCTCATCAAACCAAAGAGCAGATCACAATCCATAGGATAGGAACCTGAGGAACAGCAACAGGAAAAGGATCAAGTACCATACAGAGGTTTTCTTACTGGATGGCTATGTTACAATGAAATTGAACACAGTTACTAGAGACTGCCTTTTCCTGCAGAGCTTTCATAGAGGGTAGTTGCCATATGTCAGGTATACTCATCAACTGCAGCAAAAGAGCTAAAGAAGGCAATTGGACAAGACTAGTATGTAGTCAAGGAATGAGAATGGTACAAACCCATATGTGTTTCTTCAGGTTCTTCACCAGCAGGAGGGATGGAACTGGGCATCTTCCATGGACCAGATGCTTTCCCATCTCCAGTCTCATCAGTTTCTTCATTCCCTTCTCCATCTCCATCCCCTTCTTCACTGATATGCAGTTTTTGAATCTTCAGCCCCGAATAATCCTTCTCAGTTTCTTCTTCAAAGTCCTTCCATTCGTCTACTTCCTGGATAGCAGTAAGTAAATAGCAACAGCTGTTCTACACTCATGGACATGAAGCAAGCAAAAGTTCTGCATCACTTATGAAAGGCAACAGAGAGTATGATTCATACTTTCATGGATCTTTCAAACATTTTGTAATGAACAAATTGTTTAAAGCTTCTAGACCCTAAAGTTTAGAACCTTGTTGGCAGCACTTGATCAGCTCTTAAGTTTTATCTCCATATGAAGTTTTAATAGAATTTCCATGTTTCAGTCTTTTTAGCTATTGGATGTATATTCCATCCAACTAAGGAAATTATCCCCAAAATGCAAATCCCTAGTGCATGCAACATGGCAAAATGCACATTCCACAACACTCATTTTGCAAATTTACCTATGACTTTGAACAGTCTATTTTCAAGGCACACAATTTATTACTTGGTTTAATGAATTTCATCTAGATCTAGATCTAAATCTAAATCTAGATCTAGATACAGGCATCTAAATAGCTCAACTTGGCATGGTCTTGTCTTGTGTGGATCACTGAAAATGACAATTTTTTTTTACATTTACAGTTTATGAACGACATTATCTAGATCTAAATCTAAATCTAGATCTAGATACAGGCATCTAAATAGCTCAACTTGGCATGGTCTTGTCTTGTGTGGATCACTGAAAATGACAATTTTTTTTACATTTACAGTTTATGAACGACATATTCAAGGTATTAAAATCTTGTTTAACAGAAAGCAGGTCAGAGTGACATGTTGGTCTGCTTTAAGGGAAATCCATCCATATTGGACCTGCATTGGGGATTATATACCTCATAAATGTCAACCTATAGAGAGGCTGCTCAAAGGCCTCCAAAGTAGCATGCACAATTATTATCCAACATATTCCAAACCTTTTCCAAATGCTTCACAATTACTTTTTAAATGTGGGAACCAGTTCTGGAAAATTATCATTGGCATGATACTACTGCTTGAAAATTCTCTGTTGAACTTAAAACAAATAATGTTTTTTTAGGTCTGTGGGAACCCTGAATTACAAATGTAAACCGGACTGTAACAATCATTCCACTGCTCACCTGTGGTTTTCCCCCACCAACTTCGCCACCACTTTCTGTTGCATCGATGACAGCTGGCTTAGGTTTCTCCTTTTTAACTACTTTCTCCTGCTTTTTTCCACTCTCTTCCAGTTTCTTTGCGATCTCTTCGGACGTGGTGAATTTTTTGCCCTTCCCTTTCTTCTTATCCTTCTTGGCAAAGAAATCGTCTAGGTCTGCCATGCTGAACCGAATTTCACGATCACAGTGAACTCAAGCGAAAGACAATCATGAGCATAAGGCGTAATGGCACTCTTGTTTTCCAATCTTCCAGCAGTTAGTCCTCAAGAATCAAGCAGAGCAGTGAAGCCAGAATGGCGACGTCCTCGAATATCGCCAGATGGAGAAGTTCGAGCGGTCCAAACGCACCACATACACACTTTAGCTTGATTCACGGATTTCATGAATTTTTAGGCGGATTTTTGTGAGGAAAAAGTCCTTCAGAATCTCAAAAAACGGGGGCTTCAATGCAAGCGAGCTTGCCCAAGTCACGTCACGTCACCAGGCACACCGTGCTTGAGTGCGGAAGGACGAGGTGGCCATGGCGCTACGACTGCCCGATGCTGTTTTAATATGCTCGCTGCTCTCTTTTGCGCTACCTCCCTGAGCTTTCCAGTTAATTGCTTAAAATAGGATTAAAATTCAATTTTAAATTGCTTTAGTCATTTTCACTTGCCTTTAGAAATAAATATTCTAAATGAAGGTTTCTCTTCATACAATCCTGGCACGTTGGCGACTGCAGCCCTGCGAACTAGCTGCTGAACTCGTGCAATCCTTAAAAATACTATCATTTTCAAGTGAGTTCGTACCGCCTTTAGCATGAGCTTCATGTGCCTGTTTTATTATGGCAGAAAACCTCCGACTCGCCATAGTAATAACATTGCGCGAGGCATTTCTAAAGGTGTATGTATTCATTTGCAAATCATTGCAGCATATCTTACTTGATTCCTGTCGCCCCAGAAATAGCCCAAGGATAGACTATGCCCTTGCACGGAAACTGCCATTGAAGGTTGTCGGGTTATCTGAACTAGTGACGCACTAAAGTGATAAGAAAAACTTGCACGAAGCAGTGTCTGGTGGACTTCAGTTCTCGTAATCAGCTTGCTTAAGATCAGACCAACTTGTTTCTGAAAAATAGGCCTAACTTTAACAAGGCCCATCCTAAATCGATAAGAGAAAAAGGCAAGGATGAACAAGGAGACAGTTACATTTTGAAGCCATCCCAAAGAACCTGAAGGATTGCCCTGGGTCTCCCTGATTTAATTATGTTTGTTTGTTTTTTTTTTCTTTTTCTAGCATGTAGTCATTGAGGTAGATTTTGAAACTGCAAGTAGTGGACATGTTTTTTTTTCTGTGTCTTTTGGGATAGAAAAATATTCCTTTTGTGGTGCTGCAAGGGTTTTCCTCTACTACTAGTTCATTTTGATAAATAGCATGCCCATAGCATGTGTGCATTGTTTTGAAGCAAATTTTTCTTTTTCATTGTTAATATTTGGTTCCATTATCATAGGATTCATGGTCAGTATTTTCCATGATATGTTTGTATTTGTTCTGGTCATCTGCAGGTCATTCTGAATTCACATGATCTTGTTCAGCAACAATACCAGTTCTATGCATAATCTAGTCACTTCTTGATAGGGTCTATTAGGTTATTATGAAACACAAATTTTTGGTGTAGTCATGAAATATCCTCATTATTTTCAACCTAAAAGGGAGCAGAAGCTGAGTAATACTCAAGTTGGAGAGTATTCAAATTTGACTTCATTACAAGGTTTCTTATTTCTGCCAAATAATTCAGCACTGGATGTAAGCATCATGCACTCATCATACCTTCATGATGGAAACCCTTGAAACATTGACATCCATCCAATGTCTTAAAGTTAATATCAAAGCATGGATTGGAGGGACCACATCAACAGTCATGAAAGCAAAAGGGTTCTTGGCCTGATCAAGTTAGACTTGAACAAAGCCACAAGCACAACCAAGGCAGCAGTATATTGGTCCCTTGTCAGGAATGGAATATGCTTCTGATTTTTTAAATTCATTTGAAATGACACACTCACCTGTACATCCCACCAGTGCAAAAAGAGTCTGAGTTCATGTTTTTTGTGTCATCCCCTTGAGTTGGGATTGAATAATTGATGCCTTGCTTCATTCTGATTGATGTTAGATGTCAATTTCGATTATCAGAATCATTATAGCATATGCAGCACCTAATATTTATGGTATAAGCTCATAATCTCAAACTGCAAATGAAAAATCTGGCAACGAAAGCAAACAGTTGAGCAAAAACTGTTTGCTTTTGTCATTTGTTTTGCTGGGCAACAAAAGCAAACAAAAATCTTCTATTAACCTGTGATCAGTAATCAATATCAGTGTCAGTACAGCCTCCAAAGTTCAGAATATCATTCTATTTTGCATAATTCTGCCTATCCCTATAAGTTCCATGCAGCCTGGTGTCTTCCTTTAATAGACCAAATAAGCCAAAGCCAATCAGTTAAGTAGTCAATGCTCCAAAACCTAGTTCAACGAAGGGATACCAGTGGGGACATGGAAGGCCCCCACTGACATTTTCTCCTGTATTGTTCTTCAGAAGAACTGTAATATTATTCCAATTTCCAAAGGTTCTAGTTCTCTATCTGAAACTTTCACAGAAGCACTTTAAGATTAAAATGTAACACAAAGTCAGACATATTACTTGTCAGGTGCTTTTCTTTCACTCAGAAGATAATTTAGTGATATTTTCAATTCCTTGCTGGTTTCTTGCTGGAACAGGACTGGTTTCACATAAGTGCAGTTAGTACCTGCTATCAGGCCATCAGAAAACCCTTGCAGAATGTACAAGTTCTATGTCTATTTCTAATCATGAGAATCACACATGTTAAGCTTACTAGATTCTGCACTGGTAATCTACAGTGTGCATTTGATTCTAGCTAGAACCATTAACTTCAGCTGGAATTTTTGACTGAGTTATTTTATGTCTACATTATTATCACTCTTCCTTTAAAAAAAAAACAAATAAATGTGAGTATGCAGTCACAAAGTTTTGCAACATTATCAACATACTTCATAAGAAAAAGGGGTGGAATCTTCTCATACAGAAACAAGACAGTGAAGACTGCATATAAATGTGCCTTTTTCATGTGTTGCACTGACATCTTCAGCATAATAGAAAGGCATTTTCTCCATGTAAATACATATATCTTTGAAGAGCTGTCTCTTCCAATTAGACATTTTGGAAGCCTTGATCTCATAGAGCTGACTAAGTTTGCATTGCAGAAATATACTCTTATTTTGCAGGGAAAGATTGATAATGATAAAATAAAAAGTCTGTATTCAAAGGGTCAACAGGAGGTTTTTATGGGTTGCATTGTTACAGATACATCTTGCCAGTGACTGCCCAAATGGACTTTCTTGTTTACACCTTTATGGATAGATTGCATGGAATAGTTCTATATAGGTTTGCCCCTAGTGTGAGAAATGTAACTTGTGAAGCCCCCCAATCTGAAACCCAATATTACTTTTCTTCACTGCAGATAGCCTGCTTGGAAAGAACACTTATTTTAATATGGCAACTTATCAAGCAGACCCACTTAAGACTTGTCCATACAATCCCTCTCACCAAGTTCGGCATGACAAATTCCAGCTGCATATTCAGAAGTGTAGAAAGCAGCATCCAAATGCACCACACAAAAAGTGTGTGTTCAACAGTACACACATCATCCCAGAGGTTGAGATGGACTATCACTTGGCACATTGTAGTGACAGGATCAACTATGACAGACAGGTGTTTCAAGTGAAGCATAGAACAGATTATGGAAACCAAGAAGCTGAGGAACAAGAAGATGAAATGCAAAGTGGATTTAGGGAGTCTTCAAGGAACCATGTGAAACATGAAACTGGTGAGGATTGGGAGTCTGACCTACAACCTGTCACATATGATCCATCAAAAAAGATACGTTCTACTCCCATCCTTGTGAAGCATCAAGGTGGCACCAAGGCTGTGAATGCTCAGATGCGCCGGGATAACCGTGAGCAGTATCAGATGCTTCTAAATAGCGTGAGTGGGGAAAGGAGCATCAATTCATCCCTTCCTGTTGGGATGCCAACTGTGTCTACTTCAAGGAACACTACTAGGATTTCCCCTACATCTCATGGCTTCTCTGCTGCTACTGGTGCTGCTGCTGGTGGGTATATTTGGTTCTCTCCTAAACTTCATATTGGCTAGTAATGGGAGAGGCTCATGTTTTCTGGTGAGAATATAGATCAGTGCTTGGCAGCAGAATTTCACAGGGTGCCAGATGACAAGAATGCTACATGTTCTTAGGACAACACCTATCAAGTGTCAGTAAATTTTTAATTCCAATGTCTAATGTCAAATTTGCAGCCAAATGTCTACTGTCAGACTGTATTGTAGGATGACTGGACCTTAGTGGGCCAGAGGGAGGGCTTCTGTGGCCAGATCTGACCCATGGGTCGCCTGTTGCCAATCACTGGTATGAATATTCATAGCAAATATAGGAAAACCCTTTAATAGAGGGAAGTAGGACACATCACAACTATCCCATTTCAATTCAACCACATTTTACTATTATTGTGCTTAACCATTTTTTATTTGCCTGAAAATTGACTAGTGTAATGTAATGTTTGTGAGAACAGATATTATTTGAGAACAGATTTCTTTGATATCAGATCACCTTGAACAGAAATTTGGTACTCATTAGTTTTGGCACTACTGTATACCTCATGAGTTGCTACCCCATAACATGGGTAATAAGTTCCCCCTCAAAGAGCTGGCATGTGCAATATGTAATATTTAGCTCTAATTTAATTCTTTATTTGGCCATCAAATTCAAAACTCTGCAATGATTAAAGAAATATTACATTTGTCATCAATGGTCACCACCCTCTGGATGACAGACAACATGTAAAAACATTCCAATAATATATTCACCAGCCTCTTTGTTATTGTGAAAACTACTGTGTTTGATTTCTTGCAATTTACAGTAGTTACCAGATAATTTTTAAAAATAGTATAAACTACATGGAATATATGTCATTTCTTCATGTTAAAGACACTACCCATGTGAAAATTTCATGTAAGACCATATATGAAACATGTATGGGTTTGACACAAGTCACATAAAATCATACAAGAAGGAAAATATATGACCCATACATTTTCATATATTGGCTCATACAAATGCACCATATACTGTCCATATATGCCATGTCATATCTGTGTATGGTGAGATTACCTGAAACATGCCTGTATCCAAAAAGGGTTCATAATCCATCAGATACTGTGTGGTCATTCATATGCAAGTCACCATACCTTACTTGCAACTCATTTTTAATTGTTCATAGACCACAATCAATTACTCCAAGAACTCATGTTTCATGGTGTTCAACATATGCACCCTTGTTAAAGGTGAAAGTTTCAACATTATAGACTTTAACCTCCAAAAGTATTTTCATCAGTAATGCTTTTTCATGACAAAAGTTGGCTTATTCATGTAGGAGTGTCTTCTTCATCTTGACTAACAACTCACAAGATAGATGGAGAAAAAAAACCTATTTATAACAGTGTCCCAGAGTTCTTGTGCCCCCCCCCTCCTCCCGTACTTTTTTCATCCGTGATACGTTTATGGTACCTAGAGAGGGTAGGGCCCAGTTTGAAACCCTGACTGGAATTTTCCAAGTGGACAGAAGCTGTATATTCTGACCATTACCAGCTGGCAAAGAGCTGAAAAATGGTAATTCCAGGTTGTTTTACAACTGGAAATTTACTGTTAGAATTTTATTCAGAGGACCCTTTAGTTGGAATACAGCTGAATTAACAGTTGAAGTTCAGCTGCTTCTATAGATGGACCTTCTGCAAGAATAGCCAGCAAAAACATTCTCATTCCACCAATGTATTGCAATTAGGAACAATCTGGATCTGACTTTACTTTCCAGATGCTACCCAGCTGGAAAGTATGGGAAAGTAATGGGTCTGAATTTCCAACAGGGTCCAGCTTGAAATTACAGCTGTTTCCAACTAGGATTTTCAGCTGGGGGGGTTCAAAATCAAACTTTTGGCAAATTACTTTAAAGGTTATACATAGTTAATATTTCATGTAAAATATAATGGGTGCATTAAAAATTATTTACAGAGACATCTGAAGGTCAGTTGCCCTCATGTGTAACAATCTCATGCAGTGGCATATTTTCCAGGGAGGGGGCAGGGGGGTTCAGCTGCCCCCCCCCCTGCCCCCCCCTTGGCATCCCTGGGACAGGGCTTGGTGCCCCCACTCTGCTGCCCTGCCCCCCCTGACTCTTCAGCCAAAATGCACCACTTACCTCATGCTATGTTTTACTTGCAACCATAAGACTTCTCCATGGATATATATCACATATCAGACATGATGCCATTTGCCCATCACACTTAATATTGCAATGCAGGTGAAAATATTATACACCATACAATTGTTAATATATGAATATATATATATGCTGGTATATGGTAAACATATGATCATACATGACCATATAGAGTCATACACCCTGTCATACATGGAATTTTCACATGGGTAGCCATGCAGCTTGTACAATGCGGCTCTGTTCTCTGCTTACACTTACTAAGTATGGAATTTCCTTACCTTTTTAAGCCTTGCTTAGTGCTATTCTGTTCAAGAAACAGACCCAAAGAGTAATAACATTTTCACTGCATGCTGCACCCATTTATGTAGATGTGAAGTTTTTTCTTCCAAATTTTCACCTGCTGATAGCCTACAGATGCACATTCACATCTCCATTCTGTAAGAAAGAAATTCATCCCTCCAGTAGAAAGCTGTCTTGCAAGAGGGATGCTTGTTGATTTATCAACTGAAGATGGCTAAGTGTCTAGGGCTGATGCATTTGGTACTAACTGTAAAGATCAGGCAGTATGTGTGGCAAAGATGTCCAATGATCTATGTTTGTGTGAAGAACAGGACATGAAATTTCCATGAAAGTACTGAATAATCCCGTAATATTTAATTTCTTAATTGCACTGTTGACACATTTTTAACATACTGCATGAGGCACTCTTTCTGCTTGTTCTCCATGGAAATTCGTTTCATTGGAGAAAAGCACATCTCCACTAACTTTGCTATTTTATCTGTATTTTAAGATTCCATACCTCTGATAGAGATATTATTCACCAGGTCCCCCTGCAATGCCTCGTGAGCCCAGGGTGCAGTACCATTCCACTGATGGTGCAGATGATGATGATGTGCGCTTGCCCAAGTCTCGAGGTCGCATTGCAGCCAACATATACAAGGCAGCAGAGGGAGCCCGTCTTACTGCCGACACTGAATTTGATGTCAACAGAATTCTTTCACAGAACCTGGGGCGTGGAATGGCAGCAAGGCCACTTGCAGCAGCTCGGGGACCTCCACCTGGCTTTGCTGCTCCAGCCCCCATAATTGCTCAACCAAGTCCAGCCATACTAGGCCGTGGTCGTGGGATGCCAACTGCAAGCTGTGATCAGTCACATATGTCCACATCTGCTGTAGGTGTATCACGTCCTTCCACGTTGACTGGCGTTTCTGCAGCTGCTCCCTCTCCTGACCCTGTTGACATCTCTGGTGCTGAAGAACATCCAGAACGCCAGGTCATCCTTCTTCGCCGTGAAATCCGAAACCTGACCAAGAAGTTGAGTGAAATTGCATCTCTGGTGAAGAGGCAGGAAGATGGCATGGATCTCCAGGATGAAGAAGTGATGAAAATTGGACGTGAGCGGGAATTGCAACGGAAGCTTAGGAAGGCTAAGGAAGAACTTGAGGCCAAAGGGGGGGAGGTGGAATCTTCCCCTTTGGGGCAACAAAACTTGGATGATTGAGAGAATTGTCCAAGAACCATGAGTGCACTTAGATGAAGTGGATTCACCAACTTATTTGTTGGTTTTCCCTGGACTCACACCTTGATATGCAAGAAATAGTGTCAATATGTTTTACATGTGATGAAAAAACTCCCAAATGACCATGTTAGTCAAGAAATATTGTGCTTCTGTCTGAGCTTTGATTGATTCGCTGCAAGTGAATTGTGCTTTCGTTCTGTGCTACTATGGCTATGGATATTTTTTTTTATTTGTCTTCTTACTCCTCTTCATACTGAATTCCTCATCGGCCTCAAAGTAGGTGCTTAAATTGAATTCAAAATGGCTGTGCATATTTGGATCTGCTTTGTACATGATTGGATTGACATGGTTTACAGTGGGTATGGTCTTTCTTGGTTATGGAGTCCCATCAGAAACTGTTTGAAGTTGGTCCACATTCACTGTGTCAGAAGTAGCCATAGTGTGAGAAAGACAGCAGAGAAAATAAATCTTGTTTTCATTTTCTACAAGATGCCTGTATTGGCAGAGGATGGAAACATATCACAGGAGAAATAACAATCATGACACTGTAGAGGGCTTATTAGACGAGATTGGCTGCAAGCCAATCAAGATATTCAGTGATTCGGGTGTAGACCCCGGGGTAACCTGCCTCGGCACACTTGTTCCCGAATGACACTAGTCCAATTTGGTGCCATGCACCACCTATGTCCAGCAGCAATGGCCCTCCTGAATCACCCTGAAACAAAACCAAGTTCTTTGTTAGATTTTTTTTTGGGGGGGGGGGGGGAAATTGCACCAGGTTCAAATATCCTAACTTTCATCTTTAGAGTCCTGTGTGATAGCGACTGCTCAGATTCTGGGGAAAGTTTCAATTGAGCTAGAGCATAAATATGTTAAACAGCAGTTCCGTGTGAAAATAATTTGCTAACTTTTGTTTTGTTCAACGAAGGTAAGCCAACATAAACTACTTGAGAAATTTTCTAAAAGAAAGCTTTCTAAGTCTTTGGACACTTCACGTTTCTCAATGACTATGTGAAAGCGGACCTGAAACTGCTCTTATGAGTGAAAAAGAAATAGGCCAGTTCACAACTTTGTCAACTAGTGCCGTTTAGTACAATGAATGCACAAGAACACATGCTTCCAAGAACTACCACATGGAGTTGTAGTGAAGCATTGGAATTAAGGTACTTCCATGTCGACTACATTGCAAGTACATACCAACAAATGCTTAAGTTGTCCAATTATTGCAGATTTTTACTTAATTTGAATAATACTTCAGGGGGAAAGACCGAACTCATTGGTGACTTGCACTTCATGTACCTATAGCCAGAGCCACCCAGAGGTTTCTAGGGGCCCGGGGCAAAACTAAACCGGAGATCTCTTGATACGAGGGGCCCGGGGCAGATTGCCCCTCCCCTCTGGGCAGCCCTGCCTACCACCTCACCAACATGAGTAAAAAAATTCACTAATTTTCTTTGAAATAGCAAAAACAAATCTTAGGTCAAAGAAATTGGTATTCGAAAATGAAAATGTTTCATACTATTTTCATGCATTACTGTCGAGAAATTAAAAGTGAAGGCATATGCGAAAATATACCTGGCAGGCATCTCGTCCGCCCGTGCGCACACCGGCGCAGATGAAGTTTCTGCCGATTGGTTGGAAATAGGCTCGGTCGCAATCCTCGTTCCTCCACACCGGCAATGGCACGTGACGTAAGTGTTGACTCTCCTGGCCCCCTGCATACGATATTACCAAAGATAGAGCCCTGTTCCAAACCATCCACTCCCTCCCCAGAAGAAAAATTATAATCCTGTAGGCATGTGATTTTTTTCTTTTCAATCTTTCATTAAGTTGGGCGAGTTCACGAAAGTGTCATAAGAGGAATCAAGTCGCATCCCCTCACATCTGAACAACGGTATCGCATACATATGTATTATTATTTCTTTCTTGTTTGACTGTGAGGTATCTTACCGGCAAGCGTTTGCGTTGATATCAACCCAATAATGAAAACAAATCTGTAATTCTCAAGAAGATAGCAAGTCAAATAGTGGATGATGATAGAAGACAAATTTTATGGGGAACATAAGAAAATATTGAGCAAAAAAAAAACACGATAGCTCAAGGAAATGAATTGTTGGATAAGTGGATTAGAAATATATATGCTGGGGAAAAAAAAAAAACTAGTACATGACATGCCGTACCATAGCGGGTTGATCCCCATCCGATGACGGAAGGGGTAGTACCGACGAAGTCCTCAGTCCTCATCCTGGGTGTTGGGAGACAGACGGGTCGGATGTAATCGTTGTATTGCACGGGTCGATCTAGCTTGAAGACGGCGATGTCGTTGTAGAATCCGTTGGAGATGAAGCGCGGGTGGATCCGAATCTCGGCCACTCGAAAAGTTTGGGTCCCGCCTGGTTCCGCCGGAGACAGTAGGTCGTGGTCTCCCATCCGCACCGTGAACTGCCGCGGGTCGAACCTTCAGGGCCACAAGCAACACGAAAAAGAGTCAGTAACACGGCATACGAATCCGATCGAAATGATTTTCAGAATGTCGTTCGATATCTTTCACGGAATGGTTTCTTTTCGCCGTTCCACCTTGACGGTTCGCTTTGCACAGGATGGATTGCATAAAACCGACTTTAGCGCTATGGAGCTTTAAAACCTCCTTTAGCCTAGCTAAAGGAGGTTTCCACTCAATGTCTCTAAAACGATCGTCGAAGAAGGCGTAACGTACAGGCGCTGCTTGGAGTCGCGGGTGCAATGCGCAGCGGTGAGGATGTGCTGGTTGCTGACGAGGGTCCCCCCGCACCAGAACTCCGTCTTCCGTGGTCCATGCAGGAATATGGCTGCCATCCACGGCCATTGCCCCGGACGGCTCTCCACCCCACCCACCACTCGGAACGTTGGTGCCACCGACACCCCACAACCTGTCGATTATGATTTTCGTATAGAGTTGCGTAGATCGAAAGGCCCTGCAACTTTCACTTTCGTCTACTCAAAAAGGGCAGAAAATAAGTGCTTATCCGTCTCATCATTACACAGAGCGTATCAAAAGTCCAGACTCATAGGCAGTTTTCATTTACCTTTATTTCATTAAGGGTGGATTTTTGAACAGAGCACTATTCGATAATGCAGCTTTATTTACCGGATTTATCATGCCTTTTCTCTGAAATAAAGCTGCATTATCGGATAGTGCTCTGTTCAAAAATCCACCCTAAATGTTCAAATAGCATGTCATGAACTAGCCTACACATATCAATTCTGGCACGTAACCCCAGAGACACGAAGAAAAAAGAAGCACAGAGAAAAATATCTCAGAATCAGGTTGTAACAAGGGGAATCGCTAATTCGATGGTATAGGTCAGCTTGTGCCTTTTCGCTCGAACGACGGAATTACATGGATTTGTTTTCCAGCGAGAAGCTAACTTGCTTCTTTCTTTTTCTCGTATGGGCATTCCTGAACTGTCCTTTACTTTCATTTAATTATTTCGTGGCGGATGAGAATCCGGATGAGAACGTAGGACGTGTTCGTGTTGTTCCTCGTTCCCCACATTTTAGATAATTATATGCAATTGTCGTGCTAAACTCGCGAGGATAATCATTTAATGAATACGGCATACTTAATTTGCACTGCAACGCCTCCGTTCTTTTTAGCCGGCCACTTAAAAAAAAAATTCTTGAGATCTCCCATCAAGATTTAACTGGGAAATATTCATAATTCAAATATTCAAATTATATAGCATTCGCTAGCGTCTCGAGGCACAGTGGAATCGGGTGGGCGCATTCATTTGTGACCTGGGCTGAGAATTCATGGTTTGGGTATGCCCAAAGGGTGTTAACAGCCAGTTTTTCCCATATTGACGACCTCGAGTAGGGTTGTCGAAATGGGGAGGAAAATGCCTGCTGGCACCCATATCCAATCCTCGAACCGTGGACCTTGGGTCATGATCTAGGTGCGTATCAATGTTGTCTTTGCTTCGCTTCATCTGTTAGAAAATGTTATCGGCTGCGCATTCCATTCTGAAAACGAGGTTCCAAGTGAAGATGGAAACCGATTAATTCTCCAGCATTGATATGTGATGAGCATGGGAATGTGAACTTCTCCCACGAGAGATATCTGAGGCGGAATTAATGAAGCCGGTGACTGGGCGGCAAACCGGTTCGCCGGTCCTACCCTGGTACCTTGCGGAACGAGAATTCTCTCTCATCCACTCGATCAAGATCAAGTACAAGAAGGAAGCAAAATGCAAGAAACGACGAAAGAGAACGCACGTATTCTGGCCTGAGCAGCAGCGGGAGGAACCGGGCCGAGCCCCAGCTGTGGCGGTTGACCTCCGAGTCCGTTCGAGGGTCGATTGAGGAAGAGACCCAACAGGCTGTCCAGGAGTCCCTCGCTCGCCGACGACGACGGTGGAGGCGGTGGAGTGGTCGTCGTTGTGGTCGTGGTCGTGGTCGTCAGTGGAGGCAGCGTCGTCGCCGGGACCACCGCGAACCCCCCTGCTTGTCCCGCCGCTTCTAGTCGATTACTGGAGAAAAGCCATAAAAGGGAAATCCTCCTTTTACCCGATGTACCGTGATTCTCAATCGCAGCGCACTAGGGAGCCCCTCTGTGAGCTTCTTAGATACGAAATGAGGACGAGACACGAGGGCATCCGACGCCCCAAGCTCAATAATTGAAGGGTTAAAAGGAAAAGTGGTCAATCCGCAAAACGTGTTCGAGATAGTATAGTAGATAGTAGTTCGAGTATAGCTAGTTTCCTACACATAGTCCCGATTCCCTTTCATTGAAGATGGTGGTTTTGGAATTTTGGAAATTATTTATTTAAGGGAGAAACGCAGACTACTCTTCCTCACTTCTAAGAAGACAGTCTCTGGAATATTCACTCCTTCCTTGTGGAGCTCGAGAAAATAATTTTTTTTTTGCTGGTAGACCACTTTTCCCTTCAGTCCTTCAATTCTTCTCTGTTCCATCACGCATGTTTTTTTTCCCCTCCTAGGAATATCCTCTTTTTATTTGTAGAATATCGATAAGCTTGTAACTTTTACCCGATGTCAAAAGTCAGAATGGACTTGGAGCTTTCTAATTTTTTCCTTCTACTCGAATGGTGAAAGGATTATCCTGCACTGCACCTTTAACATTTCGTACAACGAAATGTTAAAGGTGCAATGGTTTGTCTGATATTCATTGACGACCTTCATCTGATAGCCATTCGTTCAACACTGCATTGACATTAATTAGAGCGAAACTAAGTCAAGAAAGAGAAAGAGGTTCTCCTCTCTACTCCATGCAAGAGACACGAACGACTGGAAGTGCCATTAGCGATTGAGCTGAAAGGAGGAAGAAAAGAATGAACGAAGGAGAAAGGAAAGAAGGAGGAAGGAACTAACTCGGAGGATGATCGATCCGGACAGCAGACGCCGGGCACAAAAAGTCTCCGGAAGCAGACGGACCCACGAAGTTGGAGGAAGTCCAGAATGAGTTCCGGGCAGTGATTGAGGTCCAAACATTTCCCCGATCCCCCTTGGGGAGTCCGACACGACCGAGCCGCTTCGACCTGAGCGGCATCCTGGCGATTCGGAATGTCCAAGACGAGTTTCCCCGCCTCGATCCTCACTGGAGAATCCGAGACGAAATCTTTCACTTCCGACGGCCGAGGGAAAAAGTTGTAGGTGTACGGCCTCAACGATGCGGCCACCTGAGGCCCCAACACTTGCTGGCCCAGCTGATAGATGGCACTCTCGGCCAAGGCGTCCAACAGGGGATTCGATTCCCCCGCGGGAGCATTCGGATTCAAATTCGGATTCGAATTTTGGTCGTTGGAACTGGGAACGAGGAAGGAACTGAGGCCCTGGATCACGTTCGGTAGGAGTTGTCGCTCTTGTCTCGTCACCGTCCACGTCACGTCCCCAGCTGTATGTACAAATTATATACAAATATTTCCAGTCGTTCGTTGAACGGAGTTCAATAGTAGCAAAGTTTGAAGCAGATCCACGAATGAACGTTTTGGAGGTTAAGGCAGCGGAAAGAAGCGGGGGAGACCATGCGATCATCAATTATGCAGATGCAGGGGAAGCAGGATGCCAGAAACGAGGAAAGACCCACCCGTGCACGCGTGAGGTCCGAAACCGAATCATTCGACTCTCGGAAGTGGGACACGGATAAGGACAGTGCACGTAAAGAAGGATGAGACCGGAATCGTAAAGAAAGGAAAGGCCAAAGCGAGCCTTGGCCCTTCATCATGCTCCATCATTGATCCCGTTCCACTTTCCAAGAAACAAACGATGGAGAGAAAGTGTGGAAAGAAGTGCCTTTCATCCTCAATCGAGTCAATTAGAAGGAGGAGATGACAATTAACCAATTAGGATCATTCGCTAGTCTATGTCAGGGTCAGGGTGTCCCTGTCACCCTCTATGTCAAGGTCCAAACCGTCAATTCGGTCCAGTCGTTATCCCATCCGAGGGCTTCTACTCATTTGTGACGATATCCCACCAAAGTTCCCGGTCCAACACCGACGCCTCGTTTGATTGCATGCAGAAATAAAGCTACGAACGTTTGGATTTAACTGCCGCGACGACCGAGTGCAAGAAACATTGCAGTCGTGGTTTACTGTTCGCAGCAGAAAACAAAGATGGATCTAACCTGAGGTTTGACGTTTGTCCCTGTGTTCTGCCGGCAGCGTTGGGTCCAGGAGGGTTGCGACGAGCAGAAGACAGAAGTAGCACCCGGGGACACCTTCTCGCACCCACCCCCTCACCCTCATCACCACACTCCAGATCTACCACCTGCCCGAGAGACCCATGCAGGTCGAAGTCGGAACCGAACCCTTCCGGATGCAAATCGCGATTGCGTGAAGGCGTTCGCAACCGAGCCACCGCTGCGACTCCCAACAGGATGTGACTTTCAGAACGAAACGCGGTGAAAGGGTGCTAGCTCCGCACTCGGTACGTGCGATTCGCTCTCGGGGATCGATTGCGATGCCCTCATCGTGCGGGATTCCCCCATCTCGCGACGTGGAAAGTGAAGGCTGACCGTCTCGGGCCGTGACGTCATCCCGGATCTGGGTTTTATTGTTGCATAATTGTTCGAAGATGAATGACCTAACGCACGAAGGGAAAGAAAATCCCGCAAAACGAGGGATTTCTCATCTTTAGCGGTTTGGTGTCGAGTGGTCTGCTGACAGAGGCGTCACTCGCCTTCGCTTTCTAGCCCCTCAAATTCACCCCATTGCGAAACGACTTAATTTCCTGCATATGCACTGCGACGGCATTCGAAACCGTAGTTCCAGTGTCGGAGTCGTTTATACAACAGCATGCGCTAATGTCGATTCGGGACCGGAAAGGCGTCGCATTCTGTACGGCATCTTAGTTTCGAAAGAGAAAGTGGAATCATTTAAGGTATGGCTAATGCGAGACGGAAACTGCCTTTCTGTTTCGGGCCGGGGAAATCCCAGTATTTCGAAATACTCTTCCGAATTGTGGAAAGGCGATTCCACGGAAGGAATTCGACGCGACGAAAATACAAGTGGGTCACAGCAGAACCGCAGACATCTCGAGATGAACATAATTTTTTTCTCCGCTCCTGCATTATGCATCGTGTCGCCAGAGAAGAAACACGAGAGAAAGGGAATGCCACCGACTCGGTTCATGATGTCGTGCACACTTCATAAGTTCTACCACTAGCCCAATCAGAGTCTGCCGTGAACCATAGGCCCTTCACGTTCGCGTTGCACCATTAATCACGGAACATTTCTCGGGGAAAACCGCAACAGCAGCCGAAGGAAAGCAAATATCGGACTGCTCTCAATGTAAACAGTCCGAGATCGCGACGACATGAAGCCATGTAGTCGCTATCATTCATTCGCGATCATTTCGCTATTTGATCATTCTGCATGACACGGTTCGATTCCCACGAATAATCTCTTCCTTCAACTTGCACCGAATGGCCTACAGTCGCCGAGGTGAACGACACGCGAAAACGAGAATCCAGCACGAAATTCGAACCGTGGAGGTGAAGAAACACTGAGAGATTCGGCCTCATGAGCAGCTCATCCCGGGTGAAGACAGGTGACTGTGAAATGGCACTACGAGGAACTCACGCACTCACACCCGCCGCATTCAACCACACCCATACCCGATGCGAGACCGGTGAGAGTGAAACGGAGAAAATAAAAGAGAGAGTGCGAGGGAGACCGAGGAAGACGGACTAGAGTTCTTTTACTGACCCACTTCCGCCTCTTTTTTCCATGTCGGGGGCACACACCCCCTTCGCCCATTTCCTTTTTACCTCGAGTATCTTGCAAAGCAACCGACTTCGTCTTCGAGTGAACACGTCACTTAACGATACTTGGAACCCGAGACGTGCACCGCAAGACGATCGTCGAGCCTTTGAGTGCATGAGAATGCGAAAATTCGTTCTCGGTCGACTGTGGAAATTCGAGGAAGGAAAAAGTTTTTGAAGATGCACAACTTCGAATCACACGTGCAATCGCACGAAAATATTCATTAACACTAACTTAACACTATTAACATTAAACCCCCCCCCCCCCCTTGGCTTTTGAGAAAAAGAGATCATTGCCCAATGCGTGATCTTGGCACTTCCTGGCCCGCATGAGGGTCGAACATACCTCCCCAGGGTCGAATATGCCCTCCATTCCGTCCTCCATTCCCTCCTCCATGCAGATGCAAATAGTCAGATCCCATCATTAGATGACACATCAGACAGAGGAGATGATTTTATCCAAGAGCCTGTCGAACCCGGACCTGGCCACTTTCACTTTTTCTCGCCGAGAGAGATCCTCTTCCTCGGGATCGTGTCCCATCCATCTTCCCCCTCTTTGTACAAAGAAAGCCTCAAAATATGTACACTGCTGTGGTTTTCCGACGAAAGCCTGCCTTCCCTATGGATTCTCTCGACCCGCATCGAGGAAGACTGAGGACACCCCGCAGAGACTTTTCACTCGGACTGATTCAAATTTCAATCGGTTCCGTTTCTCGTGCTGCGGAAACGAGAGGAGAGAGAATCTTATTATAAATTTGACTTTGCTCGACTTCGCTAAATTTGCTCGATGATAGACTGAATGGGATTTAGCCTGCAGACAGGCAGAGCCACCTGTAGGCCATGCAAGGGACTCAGCGACAGAATAACAGGGGAGAACGGGGTTCATTATCAAGGCTATTTTCGAGAGACGGCAAAACTTGCGATGGACGGAAAAGAAGACTCTTCTGATGTCTATTTTTAGCCAGAAAATCGGGTCCAAAGCAAGAAAAAAAGAATCGCCTGGAGATGTTTACTAATCTCTCTTCGTACGCTATTTTGACCATTGTAGGATGAAAGAAGACTTTCGTTCTCGAAGGGAAACGTCGGCCTGGATCACGTCCTTGGGGATTTTCCAAGATTCGATATCGGCCATCCAAACAGGGTCAAGTTCCCTCCTTCTGGTATGCCTGCACGCGAAACGAAATGGAGGGAGCGTTGGCGAAGTCTTGAATTCGCTGCCGGGGCTCGAGCGGCCTCAGCCCGCACCCTCGGCCGCCCAGGATCGAGCTGCCAAATCATACCAAATAGGTGATTATTCCATGTATTCTGTATTCCCTATAATCGAGAAGCCTTTCGGATCGTTCATTCTGAAACGCGGATATAAAATCCCCTCTAAGCCGCGACGCGAAGGGAAGGAAAGTGAAGTCCCAGCTTTGAAGTGAGCTCGTGGGCCGAAGACAGAAAGCATACTTTCACCCGTGGACTCCATTGACCCCTGAACATGTGAATGTGCGATACCTCTCACGTTGCCTCTTTCAACATTTTGGACCGAGTCCTGCATACGAGTCAAAACAGATCGAGGCTTTTAGGGATCTCGTCGCTCTCGATGGGCGAAAGCAGACATCTAGCGTGTAACGGCTCAAGTATCGCCTCTTCTTTATTTGTATAGAGAGCGCCACTGACGACCGAAGTTCTTTCTTGCTTTCAAGAGTCAATAACAAGATTACTCGAGGGCAAAATGTTCCAATCCCTGTGTGATATAAAAGCATACCCTTCCTCATTCTCTTACAATGATAAAGTGGAAAGTTTTCGCAGGTTTTTCGCTGAAAGCATTTTAAGTCTGCAAGTTTTCAATGAGAATTGTACAATAACAACTTTCAGGCCCGTTCATGACAATATTTTCGTATGCATGATATGAAAGTGGATGGAGGAAATTTATCAGAAAAAATATTTATCGCGAATGAATTTCTTTTCGAAACTAAATCCATTCAAACTAAAACGATATATTATAATACATTATAATATATTATAATATAATGATATATTATAACTATAGTTACGCTGTAAATAAATTGGCTACTTTCGCTTGGAGATTTGTCCGATGAGAAACGCCGATGAATTCATTTCATTTCATGAAAATGGTAGAAGTCATTCTGCTCTACGGCTACGAAACGATCGCGAATCTCGAGACCGGCGGTCGTCTTTCCAAACTATTTCCAACATATTAGCAGGAAAAAAAAATTAAAAATTCTCAAGATAATTGACTCCTTTGACAAGACGACTTCAGAGATAATCGAGGATGCAAGATTTGAAATCTGGCACAAGTTTACGAGAGCTCGACTTCTAGCAATTCACGGCTTGATGACTGCAATTTGTGCGAAGCAGAAAGTATTAATATATGCAGCTTCGCACAGGAACACGTGCGAAGCATTTGCGCGTTGCAGGGGGGTTGTGTCTGAGGTCGTGGAAATCCAGTCACAAGTGCCGATTGCTCTTTTCTCGTTCGTGTGTCGACGAAGAATCGTGATGATCTCTTCTCTCACTCCCCCCGACTCGTAACTTTATTACGTAGGGGTCCTTTCCATTACAAATGGGATTGTGTTGAAATTGAAGCCCCAGCGACTGGCAGATGGAGCTGCAGGAATGATCATTCAAGACTGTTTTTCAACAAAGGAGTAATCGGGATCGATATCCGATTTCAGCTCCAAGATTTTCTCAGACCGAGCCATCAGATTTTCAAAAAGTTCACCATCTCGATGCAATTAATCGTCATGTTTGTGATTCTATAATGGCGCATTTTTGGTGTAAGTGCTACGCCACGATTAAATCGAAATGAGTATCGTAATCAAAATTTCCATGGACACACCCTGCACGATGGTCCTTCCTCATCCACGATGAGGAAGGAAGGTCCTTCCTCATCGTGGACAGAGGGCGCGACCCATTCCTCTGCCGAGGGCAAAACGGACCCAAGAATGTGTGTTCCTTGCCGATTACGCAGTTTGCGTTCTCGAACTGCTCAGGTTGAAGAGATATTAGAACGGAATTTATTTATTTACCTCAATCTGCGGTGTAGCGTCGATGCCCCCTTCCGTAAAACAACAGGCAAGAGAAAGAAGGAAAACTCAGAAAGATTCATCAGAACTGTCTTCCGTGAGCCGGGGGGGGCTCACGGAAGACAGTTCTTTTCCCATTATATTCTTCCACGCTACGCTTATAAAAACTCCATTGACTCCCAGTCGATCTGGTTCTATCATCCATGTAAGACATCTAATTTTGCTGCTACATAAAGAAGTCCTTCCCACCTTCATGACTCACGTTCGAACGCTGCCTGGTCGTGCTCCAAGCAGAACAACTTGTACTAAAAACCAGCGGCGTAGCGTCTGGTGGACGTGTGCCCCCCCCCCCTTTGTCCTGTGCCCCCTTCCCCCTTTTCCATCCACGCTACGCTTATGGTAGAAACCTCTTTCGGCGCATTTGTAGATGGACATGAAACGATATGCCTTTTTGGGAGTTCCAAGTAGGACGAGTGTTACGAACGTCGCCACTGGGGTTTCATTCCACCATCTATTCTCAGATGGTGGAACTAATGTTTGTGACATGTATCTATACTTGGAACAGCCCTATTTCCTACTGTAGTTTTCTCGCCGTGGCTGCCTTCGCTCAGCGCACTTCGAAAATCCAGAGAAACCCTGTGATTTTGCTAAGCTTTATACATTCCCGTTCTTCTCTTCCACATCGGGTATTGTTTTCATTAGTTCGTTGCTTTTATTTTGGAGTCCATTGTAAATGACAGTGAAACTTAAGTGTGCCGAGATTCAGGTCTACAGTACAAGGTACAGTACAGTACAGTATAAGACAGCGGTGTGACCCGATCCAACCGGATCCAACGCGAACGAGAAAGCTCCATTACAGAACCACCATTGCCAACAGGCAAGGTGGAAGGGAACAATTTTGCTCGGAGTGCCGACACTCCCACTCATCCTAGTCCTAACTTTGACAGAACTATAAATAGTAGCATCAGTGAAGCACTAAGCGGAGCAAATGCGTGGACTCGTCCCTGCCTTTTTGAGGGTGCTGCGAACTCACGCCATGATTCTTTCAGACACGATTTGGTATGTCATGATTTTCTAAACAAACAAAAAGCTAAGAGGCAAAGGAGTTAGACAACCAAAACGTAACGTTCAATAGAGAGTGAGGATATCGTTTGAGACCGCTTTCACGACGGGAGAAGCAATAAGGCTTATATATAGCGAAGTACGAATGGCTTCGGGAGATGTATCTGCAACGATCCGCTATGCTATGGCCAAAAGCCTCCTTGAAATTATCGTAAAGTGACTTAGCTCTGAGGCTTTCTGTCTCTTGCACTTGCACCGTAGCAAAGCGACATCACATACGAATTAGGGAGTCTGGACATAAAAAGATATTTCCTCTAGAGGGAATCAGTGGCAAATACAGAAATTGTTCCCTTGTTCCCCCCCCCCCCCCCCTTCCCACTCTCCCGCCCTCCCTGCCTTCCGCAACTCCCCGCCAGGGGCGGATGCAGAAATTTTTCATAGGGGGGGTTCCTACCCCCACCTACCACCATTCCTCGTCCTTTCGCCGTTTTATTTTTCGTCTGGGGTAAGAACTTGAGTATCTATTTCGCTGGCTCCACTAAAATTTAATGCAGACGCTATTTTAAATAAATAAATCAAATGCTAACCTGGCCATAGGGGCGGCGGTCGCCCCCCCCCCCCCGCCACCCCCCTGCATCCGCCACTGCTCCCCGCCCTAGCGCCTTTTTCATTTCTCGTCTGGGGTAAGAACTTGAATATCTATTTCACTGCCCCCAATAAAAATTAATGTAGAAGCTATAAAAATAAAAGGCGCGTTGGGTGATACATTTGCATCACACCTATGCCAAGTAGAATCATCTTATCTAGTCGTTTTATTTCAGCTTTGAAACCGCCACTGAGGAACTCCGCATCTTCTTTTGGGTGGCTTTTTAACCAAGTTCCTGAGTTTACATGTTTCTTTATAGAGCGAGGAAATCAAGATCGAGATTTAAAGTGCATTTCGCAAAGAATTCATACCTGAAATAGTTGTTATTGTAACTTCTTATTTGGCTGTTTCCACCCGAGTCTTCCTTTTCTGTTTGCGGTCTCAATTACGCTTTCTTTAAGCCCAGCGATTCCATTTTGGAATGTTCATCTGGATTTATTGAAGAATCTTTAGGGGTTGAAGGTGTTCTAGTCGAAATACAATGACATGATACCATGAGCGGACCGCGTAGAATTCGTGCCTACCGACGAACGAACTGGTCCCTATGGGAAAATCGAGGGCCCCTGGCGGTCTGACCCAACACCCGACACTAATCTTAGCAATTTTTGCCCTGTTTTCCGCGTTCACATTCGACTAATGTTGTTCTCCAAATAATTGCATGGATGATATCGAT